TGCAATGAAACTGTGTAAAGAAAACTACAGTGGACCCATAGGTTTTGGGAGCACACAGGGACACAAGAACAAGTGGCCTCTAAGACTTTAGTTGCAGAGGGGAAAAAATGAGTAAAATCAAGATTTTAACAATAAATATAATAAAAATAAATAATACAGATTATACCACTAATCCTTTTTTGGCTTCAAAAATCCTCATTTTTAGTTGGAAGCCTAAAAGATCTCACACCCCGTCCATTACCTTTTCCGGTATGACAAGGTTTTTTTCATGCTACAAATTTAATTACATAGTCTTATAAATAATGGGAAAAAAAAACAAAAGTGTGACCTAAATACAAAGTGAAACCAACCTTTGGCAATCATAATAGCATTATAATGAGGTAATATAACCTAGGTAAGTACTGCTTAGCTTCTTCACAGAGGGAAGCTTTTAATATTGTGAACATACAGACACTCTCATAGCAGCCATATGAGAATAAGCAAAGTGGACATATGCCTTCTGCAGATTTCAGGTAGTTGACTTGTGGCACGTTCACTTATGTTTTAATGCCAGCTCTGTGTCTGTCACCAATAAACTATAGAATCAGCAGTCATAGTAGCCATCTTTTTGGTTAGGGTGCTTCCTTGAAGATGGCGACCACCATTTATAGACAAGCCTAATTCGTATATAAACTACAAAAAGAAGCCAAGGGTGGTCATCTAATAGGAAAAATCTATTTCCAGCCAATCAGATAAGGAAGGATGATGTCATGTATCCAGATAGACTTATTGTATGCGGAAACTATTCATCTGACTTCTAAAGGTAAAGTGGACTTTAAGGCTCTATGCACACTAGTGTTTTTGTAAGCTAAAAAAATGCTGGAAAAAACACTGGAAAAACTGGTAATATCATTTTTAGTTGCAGTTTAATAGCATTTTAGGAGTGTTTAGGAGTGTTAGCATTTTATTAGCGTTGTTACAGTACATGTAGAAAAAAGCTAGAAAAAACCTGTTAGCATTTTAGTAGCATTTAGCAGCGTTTAGGAGCAATTAGCGTTTTTTTCTGCTGGAAAAACGCTCCAAAAAAACTGCAAAAACTATTTTTTTTTTCTGCAGCTATATGCTGAAGCTCAAAAATAATAGTAGTCTGTAGCATAAAGTAGTGTGCATGGACACATAGGATAACACTATTTAGCTTCTAAAAAAAAAAAAAAATGCTAACAGCTTCTAGGAGCTTAAAAATATGCTAATAACAGTTTCTAGGAGCTTAAAAAAATGCTAGTGTGTATGGAGCCTTAAAGTATCACAGTTTCTAATTAGGGATTGCTGGATAGCTGTGAGCTCTAAAAATATCATAACAGCCTGTATTCAAATGTACAGTTAGATGGGATAGCTCAATAAATGGAATAAGTTGCTTTAACCAGGAGTTAGCAACCTGTAGATTGCAGCCAGGTGACTGGTAGATCTCGGTCTAGACTTGCTGACCTGCCATCCCAGAGCATCAAACAGTGCAATGCAGAGGGACTACTTGAAAGGTTGGAGCTGTAGTAGGGAGGAAGGGTCACATAAGCCGATGCCTCCTCTGTAGTGCTGGCTCCTGTCCCATGCAGAGTGTTACCAACTGCACTCCACCTCTTATCCCGGCTAGAGGTCTCCAGAGTGGTGCCAGCAGCAGGAAAGAAGAGATCTTCAGGTCAGTGTGAAGCAGTACACTGGCCATAATAGTATAGGGCTGCTTTCACACTGATGTGCTGCGGTTTACCCACATCACGGGTGCAGTGCAGTGTACCTGCAGCTTTCCAGCTGATTTGCTGTGCTTAGCCATAGCCTTTAGTATATCCTGTGGGTCTGGTGCACTTTCTGAAGTGCAGCAACGCTCCTGAATGCAGGATTTGTGGTGCACTTTAAGAAGGAGCACCACACCTGCAGGATATAATAGAAATCAATGCCAAAGTGCAGTTAACACAGGAAACTTGCAAATGCACTGTGCCCCAGGTAAATCACAGCACATCAGTGTGAAATAAGCCTTATTGGGGGCTCAAAACAGTAAGAGTTAATTTACATTTGCAGTTTGGGGGGTAGTAAAACCCCATAGTTAAGACATGTTTTTACCACCCCCACTGCACCCCCTTTAGCTACAGTGGCCAGGGGGGTATATACATGCCGGAGCAGCAGCAGTAGTTATACGCCCTTGTCATGGTTGGTGGTTGTAGAACCTGCCAAGCATGACTCATTCAAGTGAATGATGCCGCTTTGCAAGTGCCCTGCAACCTTGTGCAGTACAGCAAACAAGGGGTTAAAGCAAGTACAGCATTGTGTTACTTTCTTACCACCTGCTTTAACCCGTTAAACCCTGCAGAAGCTTTCAGTTGTGGAATACTTGCAGAGTGGCCCCATTTACTTAAATGGGTTGCGATTGGCAGGCAGTGGCACTCACCAAAAGCAACAGGGGGTTTCATTTCTGCTGCAGTATGTGTACATCATTGGCTGCTGCCACAGCAGCTGAAGAGGGTATGGATTGTAGGTGGTACAACCAAAACTGAACCACAGGATTTTACCACCCCTCAACTTTACGTGTGAATAAGTTCTAAGGGTGCCACTGCCAAATGCAACTAAGGGCTCATTCACACGTGCAGTAGGCACTGCTGCTCCTCTGTACAGTGATCTAAGTGTGTTTGAGAGGTGGTGAGGAGGCGATATGTTGCCTCCTCACCACCTGATTTAAACCCATGATTGCCATGCAGTGCATGCGATTGTGACACGGTAGTACAGCAATTCGAGGTTTAAATCAGGTGTGAGGAGGCTACACTGCGCCCGGTGATCTTTGACTTCTCCCAAACTTGTCATTTATTTTTAGTCACTAATGTGTCTTCTTTTACAACACAGGTTGTGCTAGATGCTGAAAAAATATTTATGCCAAAACTGCCTCAAGGATCAAAGATGAACCCTGGAAGTTCTCAGGACCTCTATGAAGTTTGCGTCTGTCCTGACGGAAAACTCTACCTATCTGTGGCTGGCTCGACATCCACTTGCCAAGATTACAGTCGTGACTGTCAATAAAGGACTTCTCCGAAACACTGGAAATTTGCAGTCCCTTTTCTAGAACGTGGAAATATTCACTTTGTTGGAACAAAACTGATTGAGAATTTAGTTACTAAAACTACAAAATGTGTGGGATGTTTATTTGTATCTGGAAACACACTTTTATGAAAAATAAGGAAATATTTTTTTAGACACTGTAAAACAGCACAAGTTAATTCAGACTTGGAAATAAATCATCTTTCATTGGTCTTGGCTAGTACCAGAAAATTAAGAGCCGTAGCTCCTAGAGCTCAGACACTTAATAAAATGAGTATTTTGTCGCGTCACTGAACTGTTATACATTCATTGAACTGAGTAATTAATTGAAAACCATTCTGAAGTTTTTTTTCTCCTAATTCAAATACTTTTTTGCTTGTACCACATTTTATGGTATTAATATGATCTTAATGATCTGTTTCCAATAATTGAAACAAATGAATAGGTGCCAGCAATATACTATGCAACCTACTCTGCAATAACATAATATGCAGTCTGCTGTTTTTATTGTATGGTTTGTTTTTTTTTTGTGATATATTTTACTTTTTTAAATTTGAAGTGTTTGGTGTTTGGTGGCAACTGATAAAGGGATGGAAGTTAGTAGATATAACTCCTTGTAGATGTGATAGAATATTTAACTGCTTTCCTGGCGCCCTATAGCAGAAATACTGCTACGGGGCAGCAGTGATGCGTAAAATAATGTGTATGTGTATATATATGTATATGTATGTGTGTGTGTGTATATATATATATATATATATATATATGTATATATATATATATATATATATGTGTGTGATTTTGCATTTCTGGCGCCGCCATTGTTGGCCTCACCTGTAAATCACCAGGTCCCAGTAGCAGAATACATTTTGGCCTAAATGTATGACGAAATTTGATTTTTTTTTTTTTTTTGGGCCTAAATTTATGACGAAATTTGATTTTTTAAAATTTTTTCTGGACATGTTTAATAGCAACAAGTCACAAAATTTTTTTTTCTCAAAATTGGCTGTCTTTTTTTTTTTAATAGCGCAAAAAATTAACGCAGAGGCAATCAAATATCACCGAAAGAAAGCCCTATTTGTGGGGAAAAAAAGAACAGAAATTTCATTTGGGTGCAGCGTTTTATGACCGTGCAGTTGTCCGTTACAGTAACACAGCGCTGTAGCGCAAAAAAATGGTCTGGTCAGGAAGGGGGGTAAATTCTCTGGAGGGAAAGTGGTTAAATTCCAATTTTACTGGCTAGTACATTTGAGAATTATTCCCTCTTGTATCTCACCTTTCATATTTGTTCACTACTTTGATAGTGCAGTTCAGTACAGACCTGCGTCAAAGGGTTTTTGTTTGCTTCAGATGGGTTTTGCGCTCCTATACCTTTCTATATGAATGTATTCTAAAAATGTATTGTCCCAGGGTCACCTGCTGGGTTTAAACTCTGTTTGGAAAATGACAGTTTGAATCTGGCCTGTTGAAAGATCATGGCAGCTTTTAGAAGTGATACTTTGAGGACTGAGGCCCAATAAATCTAACAGCAGTTTTGATAATGGTGAATGGAAAAAAATTGTCAGGTTTATGTATTGCATTTTTTTTTTTCAACTGGCATCAAGGCTTTCCTAAACCAGTTGAATTCATGTGGATTTCGGTAGAAATCTTTATGAGCTGCTTGAGGCATCTCAATGTGGTGTAGGGCATTTAACCTTGATTTGAGATAAAACCCAAAACTTTCCTTCAGTATAGTGAACACACTGATGACTGTATGTATCACCAAAACTTTTTATTCAGATAGAGTAGGGAAAAGTTGTCTCTGCTATGGAAACGCACTTTCTATTTGTTCTGGTGACCACTGTCACCAGGTCTTATAGTGATGAGAAAAACTCCAATTATACAGTTAGGTTACATTCTCAGTGGGGATTAGGGGTATATAGCAGATTGCTGCAGAAAGTATCTGGATTCTTGTGGTTGGGATCACATGTGAAGGCGAACAGCTGCAGCTAAGAAGCCTGTACAAAGCAATGACAAGGTGACAAGAGCTGCGGCTGTTCGCCAGTATTCACACATCCAGTGCTTACCTGTAGTTAGGGACAAACGTCCAAACCTGTGTCTGTGTGCAGGGCACATCATCCATGCCAAACAACAAGTAACTGCTGGATGTGTAGATCAGGGGCGGACTGACAACTCATGGGGCCCCCGGGCATTAGGGGATCATGGGGCCCCTGTGTCCTTGCCCCAACTCCAAAAAGCCTATGAAAAAGGTACCAGGGGCATCTCATGGGGCCCCCTACTGACCCCGGGCCCTCGGGCAGTGCCCAAATTTCCAAATGGTCAGTCTGCCCGTGGTGTAGATATATGTGAATAGCCACAGCTCCTGTCAGCCTGTCATTGCTTTGTACAGGCTTCCCAGCCACAACTGTTTGCATACACCGGTGATCCCAGACACACAAATCTGCATGTTTTTTTCTGGAAAGAATTTGCTGTATGCTTTTAATCACCCATGTGAGTGCAGCCTTACAGTGTAGTTGTGGTTTTAGGACAGGACGTGAAGGGAAATCTCCTAAATGACACAAAGACAGCAAATTCTTGGTAGAGGTATAAACCTTTCACTACTTGGTCCAAAACTAAAAAAAAAATGATTTGGCTATAAATATACTTTAAGTCATTCATTACCACTGTATGTAATCTTAATGGTTCCCTATATCTAGATGTTCATTTCCCAATAATCCTGTATTGATAGGTGACATTTTCAGATTTGAGAAGAAATCCCTACTTTGGATATTCTAATATTATCCCTGATGCTGGGGATGTTTGTTCACATGCATGCCTGTTATGTACATGTATATGTCTTTGTTTAAGTCTGAAAAAGAAACATTGCCAGGTGATTGGGTCCTGACTACACAAATTGGCAGATATTTTTCTGAGAATAATAAACAGGGAGATTTTCAGCCCATCCTTGCATTTCTCCAAGGAAAGTTGGGACCCACTGCGATGCTTTCCAATGCTGCTGGCGGTATAAGGCTCCGTTCACACCTATGCAGTTTGCTTTTTGTCCATCTTGCAGTGCTTTTCATAGTTTGTTTTGTGTTTTTCTACATGCGTTTTTACCGCGTTTTGCATTTTGTTCAGCTTTTATTCTTTTTTAAAGTGGATTTTTTTTTTCTGCTGAGCAGAATAAAAATGCAAAATGTGGCAAAACCGCACTACCATGCATTTCAACAGATTCTCCATTGAACTCTATTGTAACAAACAAGCTTCTTTTTGCTTTTAAAAACATCCCTCAAAAAAGCATAGATGTGAACATGCTCCATAGGAAACCATATTAAATGGACTGTAGGGAACTTCTGCAAAAAGCACTAAAACACGCATTGGTGTGAATGGAGTCTTAGTGCAGTATTTCTCATCCTTCAACCTCTCAATAAAAGGATAGGGATCTAGCTCAGGAAGATATTTCTGTGCAATAATGGGCACCTCTGACTACCTGAGATGATTATTACCCTTGGTCACAGCTCAAAAATTGCAAGTGATGCTCACAACTGTGAGCTTTACTAGCTGGAGGCTGTGACCCACCTTTATGTGAGAAGCTTAACCCCTAATGCAGGCTGAAAATATAATCTGTGTGTACAGAAACTGGAACAGACAAAGTAGACCAATAGATGTATATAACTAGTGCCCAATTGTTCGTTGAAAGGTTCATATGCAGGAAAATGAAAAGAAGTCAGAGATCATCAATAACTTTGAGGGTATGATGAACCATCTAATCAGCCAAGCACAGCTCTCCAGTATGTGTATTACAGGTGAAACTCGAAAAATTAGAATACCGTGCAAAAGTTCATTTATTTCAGTAATACAACTTAAAAGGTGAAACTAATAAATGAGATAGACTCATTACATGCAAAGCAAGATAGTTCAAGCCGTGATTTGTCATAATTGTGATGATTATGGCTTACAGCTCATAAAAACCCCAAATCCACAATCTCAGAAAATTAGAATATTGTGAAAAGGTGCAATATTCTGGGCTCAAAGTGTCCCACTCTAATCAGCTAATTAATCCATAACACCTGCAAAGGGTTCCTGAGCCTTTAAATGGTCTCTCAGTCTGGTTCAAGTAGGAATCACAATCATGGGAAAGACTGCTGACCTAACGGTTGTGTAGAAAACCATCACTAACACCCTCCATAAGGAGGGAAAGCCTCAAAAGGTAATTGCAAAAGAAGTTGGATGTTCCCAAAGTGCTGTATCAAAGCACATTAATAGAAAGTTATGTGGAAGGGAAAAGTGTGGAAGAAAAAGGTGCACAAGCAGCAGGGATGACCGCAGCCTGGAGAGGATTGTCAGGAAAAGGCCATTCAAAAGTGTTGGGGACTTTCACAAGGAGTGGACTGAGGCTGGAGTCAGTGCATCAAGAGCCACACACACAGACGGATCCTGGACATGGGCTTCAAATGTCATATTCCTCTTGTCAAGCTGCTCCTGAACAACACACAACGTCAGAAGCGTCTTACTTGGGCTAAAGAAAAACAGACCTGGTCTGTTGCTCAGGGGTCCAAAGTCCTCTTTTCTGATGAGAGCAACCTTTACATCTCATTTGGAAATCAAGGACCCAGAGTATGGAGGAATAATTGAGAGGCACACACTGCAAGATGCTTGAAGTCCAGTGTGAAGTTTCCACAGTCTGTGTTGATTTGGGGAGCCATGTCATCTGCTGGTGTTGGTCCACTGTGCTTCATTAAGTCCAGGGTCAACGCAGCCGTCTACCAGGAGATTTTGGAGCACTTCATGCTTCCTTCCGCAGATGAGCTTTATGGGGATGCTGACTTCATTTTCCAGCAGGACTTGGCACCTGCCCACACTGCCAAAAGCACCAAAACCTGGTTCAATGACCGTGAGATTACTGTGCTTGATTGGCCAGCAAACTCACCTGACCTAAACCCCATAGAGAATCTATGGGGCATTGCCAAGAGAAAGATGAGAGACATGAGACCGAACAATGCAGAAGAGCTAAAGGCCGCTATTGAAGCATCCTGGTCTTCCATAACACCTCAGCAGTGCCACAGGCTGATAGCTTCCATGCCAGGTCGCATTGAGGCAGTAATTGCTGCAAAAGGGGCCCAAACCAAGTACTGAGTACATATGCATGCTTATACTTTTCAGAGGTCCGATATTGTTCTATGTATTGTAAGCTCGAAAGAGCAGGGCCCTCGATCCCCTCATGTTTTGCATTGTATTGGTATTGTTCTGTCACATGTTCTGTCCCCCTTTGTAATGTACAGCGCTGAGCGAACTATTGGCGCTTTATAAATACTGTATATTAATAATAATGTATAATCCTTGTTTTATTGATTGCATGTAATATTCTAATTTTCTGAGATTGTGGATTTGGGGTTTTCATGAGCTGTAAGCCATAATCATCACAATTATGACAAATCACGGCTTGAACTATCTTGCTTTGCATGTAATGAGTCTATCTCATATATTATTTTCACCTTTTAAGTTGCATTACTAAAATAAATGAACTTTTGCACGATATTCTAATTTTTCGAGTTTCACCTGTAGTGTCATTATTAGGGGGGAGAGACATTTTAAGTTTAATTTCCCCTGAAATTATAGTGAAAATCAGGAGTTTTTGACAAAATTTTAGCATATTGCATGAAAGTCAATTGGGAAGGAGAAATTAAGGTGGTTTCTACTGGTTTTTACAAGTGTAACAGGCATTACGTGGCTTGTGAGTGTTACAGAAGATGCTTTCAACTGTCTTGGACTGGTTTTTATGCCAAAGAGTTGCCATTAGCCATATTATTTTGTTGTCCACAGAAAGAAAACACAAACAGTAAAAAAAAAAAAAAAATGCCAAGCTACACTGCAAAAATAAGCAAATACATCAAAATAACATTTAAAAAACCCACTAAATGAAAAACATACATACATTTTGATAAAATCTCTCTATCCATCCCTGGTCATATTCAGCTTTGCATGGTTAAACCATGTACTTCTCTTCAAGTTTAGTCCTTGAACATTGTAAATGACTTTGCTTTTCTAAATTGGTCAGAGTTTGTAGATTTACCATTATTTATTGTCATTTGTACAACATATACACTTCTTTCATACTGTTGTGTACATCCTTTTTAATGAAAGGTGATTATTAGGAGAATATAGCACTGAATGCTATGACTAAAGCCACTAATAAAACACACAATAGGATACAAGGTGCTTACTCCTCTTTCGAAGATTAAAGCTGGTATAAAAGCAGTTATAAAACACACTGATTATTGCAGCTCTGTATTCATTAATACATCATATTTTTTTTATTGTTAAATCTGTTTTTATTAAGCAAATAAAGAAGGGTTGCCCAATAAAAATATGATGGAACAGTGTCCAGTTGAAAAAGATGAGAGTCATGCATCTGCTGAGTCTTTCTAGTCAACTATAAAAACTTACAACAGCAATACAAGGAACCAGTAAGACATAATGCCAGAGGGAAGGTAGAAACTGTATCCGTTATAAGAGGTGTTGTATACAAATGATATATTGACAGTATTCCAAAGGAAAATAAGGTGGAGTGGAAAAGAGAATGGTTAGGTAAGGTTGTGTATGGTCCAAGTAACATTTTTACAATGTAAAAGTTGAGAAGGTTTGAAAAAAAACCATAAATGGAGTAGTATAAGGAGCCAATTAGTACACGTGCTGACCAAAAGCAAGCTGAAAGGAGAAGAATACAGAATACTACTTGCCTGGCACGGACACAGGATAACCAGATGTCAGCAGAGTTGGGTCCATAATGGTGGCCTCAGACTGAGGACATCTAGGGGTGGAGGACATCTATCTCTAGATAGAAGCTAAACATTGCAGCCAAGTTGGCTGTGTTACTTTGTCTTTCAACAGACTATTCATTTTTATCTTTTAATTTTTGGTTGGAGTTCTCTGGGAGTTTAGTAGAACTATACTGTCACAAAACAATGCTAGTTTTGTAGAGAGATGTAGGTAAAACAGGATTACATTATTTGCTTGCTAAAAAGACACATTTTTCTGCTTGTTTTTTTTTTTTGGTTGTGTTTTTCTCCCACCCCTGGCAAATCCAGTGGCTAGACATCACAGTTTAACAGATTACAGCAGAATATGTCAGTACACCATGTATTGGCTACTTGTAGTGCATTTCAGAAGTGACAATGCTGCAGCTGAACAGAGCAAGGCCCCTTTCACATGGGGCGGACCCATTAACGGATCCGCTTGCTCAGCGGGGGATCTTTCTGCTGATCCCCACTGAGGAAGCAGATGACAGGTCCATGTCTGTGCAGCAGCGGACACAGACACAGCCTGCTGTCCTCTATG